AGAAGAGGAGCTACAGGTGTACGAGAAACACAATCCACTCCTCCATGGCAGCAAAAAAGTCAAGTAAGGACTTGTTTCATTTACTTCTCTAATGCAAATCACAGTGGTTTACTCAGACCAGATTATGTCTGGTTTATGATATTGCCACATGGCTTCAGGCATGCCCCTATATTTGAATAGGGATGCCATGTTTTGCTTTTCTACTTTTTCAAGAAAATATATTACTGTTTAAAGGTTTGGGGTTGGTAAGATGTTTTTGAAAATCTCTTATGCTCACCTAGGGTGCATTTATTTGATCCTAAATATAGCAAAAGCAGCAATATTGTGATATATTACTGCAATTTAAAGTAAATGTTTTCAATTGTAGTAAATTTTAAAATGTAGTTTATTCCATATTTTTTAGCAGTCATTACTCCAGTATTCAGTGAGACATGATCCTTCAGAAATCATTAGAGTATGCTGATCTGGAAACATTTCTTATCATTATTATCAATGTTGAAAACAGTTGAGCTGCTTAATATTTCTTTGGGAACCGAGATATATTCAGGATTATTTAATGAATAGAAAGTTCAAAAGTACAGAATTTATTTGAAATAGTAATCTTTTGTAACATTATAAATGTCACTTTTGATATATTTAATGCATCTTTGCTGAATAAAATATTAATTTCTTTAAAAAATCTTACTGCCTTTCAACTCCAAAGGTAGTGTAGTTTAATAATGCATAAAATAAATGTGGTACATGCTAATTCTTTCTTATACATTCTTAGTTGTATGTGAACCCATTATTATACACCAAAATGTTTGTTTTTTTGTGATCTTTTTTAGGGACCGAGTGGTGAGTAAAGCATTCATGAGGAAGTACATCCATGTTGCCAAGGCTCTTTCTCCTGTTCTGACTCAAGATGCAGCCAATCGCATTGCAGAGGAGTACTCGCGTCTGCGCAACCAGGAGCAGCTCGGCTCTGACATTGCACGGGTAAATGCAGCCGCTCAACAAACTTATGAGTTGGTTTTTTGGTCAGGTATTGGTAAATAGTTGGTAAAAGTTCTTATGCTGTTAGGTAACTAATCTGAGGAATCTGTGCTGTGTTTTGTCCTCAGACGTCGCCGGTCACTGCTAGAACCCTGGAGACTTTGATCCGTCTGTCTACAGCTCACGCCAAAGCTCGCATGAGCAAAGTTGTGGAACTGGTGGACACCGATGTTGCTGTAGAGCTTGTGCAGTTTGCCTATTTCAAGAAGGTCTGTTTGTGTATATTGTAGCTCATTGGTCACAGTTGTTTACTTGATATTAGACAGATTTGAGTTCAATTATAATTACTTTTATCCTTTAGATTGGTGTTTTAAGATATAGATACCTTATAGATGGAGTTTACAGATCCCTACTTTTTAATTTATTGTACTTCTGTTGTACTTAGGTTAATTTTCTGTCAATTTAATGAATGTCTCCGTCCCTTGTTCCCCGTTTTTTAGGTTTTGGAGAAGGACCGTAAGCGCTCTAGAAATGGTGAGCAAGACGCAGAGGATGAAGAGGAGGATGAAGTACAAGACACACCTCGAAGACTGAGAAAAAGGTCTAGTGTTGTTCCACGATAACTTTGCAAAATCATTGATTATGAATTTTCCAAGATACACATACCAATCAAAAGTGTTTAAGATTCTTGAAAGAAGTCACAAAGCTGAATTTATTTGATCAAAAACACAGCAAGAACAACAATATTATGAAATATTATTACAGTTTCAAATAACTGTTTTCTGTTTTTAAATAAATGAAAATGTAATGCTCAATTTTCTGAGTGAGTTTTCTCCTTTTTGCCTTTCTGAGTGCAGACCATCTCGGGGCAGTGAGTCATATGACCCCTATGACTTTGTTACTGAGACTGAAGTACCACAAAGTAAGCTAAACCAACAACAAACATTTTATATTTGTTATGTTGAATGGGTTAAATTAATTCTACATGATTTTTTAAGTAAATACAACATATCATTATAAAAAAAAACATATTTGAAATATTTTTTAAGCATAAAAAGATGCTTTTTAAATAAATAAAATGAATGTAATTAATAAGTAAATAATTAGATTGTTTTAAAGATTAAGATATTTAGATATATAGAAAGCATCACTTTTAATCATAATGCACATAAAATGCACATTCAAATGATATGAATAATTTTTGTTCTCAGTTCATTCCCCAGCTCCTGCAAGGCAGGATGAGGAGCCAATGGACATTCCTGATCAGAACGGTCACACAGCGTTGTCTGATGACAGGTAGGCATTTAGGATTTGTCTGCTGAGATTTTGGGTATCTCTTACACTCAGCATTTTTAAAGGGCTGTCACATTCTTTTGAAGTATTGTTTCTGATTAAGTTCTAAACAGAAACTGCATGGTCTGCAGGACAGCTGATTGTTTCGGATGCTGTATGTCTGACGCACCATGTGTGTGTTTTTGCTGTAGGTTGAAAGAGTTTAAAACCGCATTGCTGGAGGTGTTCCGCTCTTCTCATGCTCAGTCAGTTGGCATGATTGCTCTGATGGAGGGCATCAACAAGAGCTGCCCATCACCATTTAAAGAATCTGAGGTTCGTGCCGCCCTCAGTCGCATGCAGGACGACAACCAGGCTATGGTGGCTGATGACATCATCTTCCTTATATAAATGCGTTTTCTGGAGAGTAAGAAAATGACAGTTCAAGTGTAGATCTATTTCAGAAGATTTGCAATGTTTATTTTCATGTTCTTGTACATGCATACACAATCACTCAAGACATTTTCAGTCGATTTTTCTTAATGTATATTTTTCACATGCTTGTTACATGCATACAAATGCATGTATTAAAAAATGTGTACTTTACATTTTTAGTTATTTTTCTCTAACATATGTTTAATGTTTATCAGCATTCTTAGATTTGGTTAACATTCTTCAGAAATTAGCCTTTTCTGTTGGCTTTTATATTTTTCTTAAGAATAGCTTGGACCAGTGCCTGCAGATTATTTAAATTTTTTGTTTTACAACTTGTAAATACTGAATTATTGTTTAAAAATTATTAAACCACTGAAAATTTAAAAAAAGGAAAGTGTCAATAATGTTCAGTAATATACTTCTGAATACAGTTGTTCTGTTAGAGTTGTGGCCTAGTACTCCACACACATTGAGCTGTGGTGCTCAAGCAGGAGATGGAGGTTTCAACTCATTCTCCCCATCCCAATATTGTCCTGTCTATTCTGCCTCTGTCAATAAAAAGTGGCAAAACCGTTTTCTCATTGACTTAATTGTATTTTTCTACAGTATACTTATACATACAAAATACTTAGAAATGCAATACATACACTGTACTTTTAATATACAGTACAAAAAGACTAATAATCAAGATCTAGCGTTACATAAATCTCTGCTCTTTTGCATAACACCAAAAAGCCACATAACCTCAAATTAGTAATGCATCAGACATTCCCAGTCATTAGTTACTGATTTCCCTCATTGCCCTTTCAGTCTAGTGTGGGTAGAGCCTGTCTGTGTATTATTATGACTGGATTGTCTCAGATGTAGAGCAAATGATGATTTAAATGCAAAGTGCAGCTCCTCATTTATAAACCTTTCTGCTCAAGCATGCAGACGCTTCAAGATGCGTCTTCTTACTGTCCAGCTTCCCGGGTTCATTAAAACTGGTAATTGTAAACTTATGATGGTGTGGGAGCTGGAGAAACCCTAGTAAGGGGATAAAACCTACAATCCTGTCATCATTTACCTCATGTCTCTCCAAACCTGCATGACTGACTTTCTTTTGCGGAAAAACGAAAATATCTTGAAGAACATTGGGAACCAAACAACATTGGACCCCACCGACTTCCATTATACAGTATGGACAAAAAGACAGCTGAGGTTTCAGGTTTGAAATGACATGAGAGTGAGTAAATGGCTGAATTTAGAGTTTTGCAACTTTTTGCAACTGGTTCTCATGCCATTCCACATTAAACATACCATTGTTGTTTTTCTCGCCTGCTTGTAATGTAATTTTCTAAGAATGACTCAGGAGATGTTATCATATGCTTGTGGTCGTGCTAGTGTTGGCTGCTGGAACATACTGTTTCAAGAACCAAGTCAGCACTTCAGTGACCTAAATTGAAACTAGTGGAGGAGTATAAGAGCACTGTGTAGGGCTACAAGTGTCAGTTGGTGTATCTGGGGCATATTTAACACTGAAATCGCCAAATGTAACCCGTTCATCATGCTCTTAATAAGCGCTAATGCTGTACAATAGGGCTCTATGTATTAAAAACTTGAAAATGAAACTTTAAGATCTCAATAAGCAGACTAGACACACTTCGATTAGACATCTTAGGTTTTTTATGTGCATGTACATGCATTTGTATTAGTTCACATATATATGGGTCACTTTGTCTCAGCTATTACCAGCAAAAACCCAGTCCTTTCAGAACACAATCAACATATCCTGTCAAAGCTGCTGACCCATATAAAATGCATCTGCTGGTGTACACATTTGTTATTCAGAAGTCTGCTGATGTGTATATGGGTGAAACGTGAGAACGTGGGAGAGCGCAGAGTTTAAGTGCCCAAGTTAAACATACAGTGAAACAAAAGAACCTCTAATGAACACCCTTCTAGCCACCTTTGATATGTGAAAAAATGCTGCACTGATATTACAAAAAGACACGCATTGCAGATTGGTCTTCATTATCAGTTTAATGTTCTCAAGATGATTATCTACAGTATTCCAGATTTGTCTCTCTACGTCAAGATCAGGAAGTTAAAGGCTTCCTCACCAGCCTATATAAAGAAGAAGAAGGTTAGATGCAGGGCTCAGACACTTGCTGTCCTTTGTGTACCAGCTCTGAACTTACATGTTTATTCTGAAGATGCAGCTCTCTTTGGTGAGTTTGTCACACCAATGAATTAAACTCTAATGATGTTCTTCTTCATTTTAGGGGAATACAAGTGAGAAATAATCTACTTGAATTTAAAAATTGACTCAGAGGACTAAAGTTTGCAAAGGCTTTTTGATGTTGATTTTCACCTTCAGAGCTTTCGGATGTTTAGGCAAATGAACGATATCAGAACAATCCGTTCAAGCAACACACTGCAGTACTCTTTGTCTCCATCTCCTCCGGTTTTCAGAGCTGTGCTGCTGCTTTACGTGCTTGCCCTGTTATTAAATGGTGCTTCTTCTCAGAAAAAGTCTAAAAGAAAATCAAAAAAAGGAAAGCGGGTCATCTTGGATGCATCTCTGAACCTCACAATGAACGTCCCTCTGTCTCCAAGCAGATCTTTGTCACCATGGACATACGAGTGAGTCTTTGATGTGATAAATCGTTACAGTTGTTCATTTTGATCTCATATTATATGTGTGATATGCGGGGGTTCTTGTGCAACAAATACGCGAATCATAGCAATGATTTGGAGTAGTTTTGGATAGTTTGGTTAATTGTAATTTTTTTGCAAGTGAATTTTTATAAATGTTTCAATTCAGAGAATCCTGGGACAATTCCCGAATCCCATCGAAAATCTCAGAGGCAAAATGTGAAAAAAAAAGCTGTTTAACCAAAGATGGTAAAGAAGACTTCGGACTGGAATCTAAACCCATCTACTACCAGATCAACGTCTTGAGGAGAGTGAAGAACAAAAATGCTATACACTATGCCCTTAAACTAGAAACTAAAATAGTTAGTCTGGGCTGTACATGTGTTCTACCCGTTGTTGTGCCTCAGAATTAGTTCTATACTGTACTCTTACTATATTATATATTGTGTATATCTATATTGTTGCATTAATCTGCCTACAGGTACAGCGAACTTCTGTGGCATTGATCAGCTTTGTATTTATTGTCTTGATGAATAAAATATATTGTAACATTTTCTTTTTAGTTTTGCTTTGTAATAGTTTGTTTCAGTGCAATAATTGTATGAATAAGACAAGTTAAAATGCACAAAAAAAAATCTTGGCTTTAGTTAAGAGAAGCATTTATTTGACTTTAACTGGAGAATTTAGTCATCTGGAAATTACAAACACAGGGAGCATTTACGTTCCATTCTTACATCAATTCTCACCATTGCACATACAGTGGCTCATTTTTGATGCTGCAGACACCAACATCAAACTCCTTTGTCTTCGTATAGAACGAGTAAAATAAACTGACTAGAATAAAGCTCAGTGACATGCCAAAGCAAAGTGCACTATTCATTTCTAAAACTTTCAAACTATTTCCCAAATCCAAACAGGATCTTTTTCTCACACCTGAGTGCTTTCATTCTTCATTTCTGAGATGCCACTATGTGTTTTCCTACTGATGAGCATCCTAATACAAATATAATGAATGAAAAAAGCTAAATGTGCTTCTGTGTTGTGCTTAAAGTGACGCTGTGCTCCACTTTTAATGTTCTGTATGTAAGAGGGATATGAGCTTTCACATTTTTCACATTTCACATTCTAATCTAACATTCATTTGATCATATTTCTACCTCCCATCATCTCAGCAGGAAATGTGATATTGTACCTCTAGCCACCTGATTACTGATGCATATTAATGCATATTGCATAAGCATGCCTGAGGTTCTATGAAACCCTGTTGATTATTGAATATTGACATCAAACGTTAATTAAAGAAGCTTGAGCCAAAGCCTCAGTAGATGGCACATGTTTTGGAAAAAGATGCTTTTGTGGTTTAGACTGTAAACAGATATTTCCATTAGTGAGGGGTGACTTTAAGATGTAGTTTTTATCTGTACTGGTTACGAAGGTTATAAAAAAGCATCTCATCAATTCTACTTCCTGTCCTCTTCTTCATGTCATTTCAAAAGATGGGTTTGGTATATTCATTCTTTTTCTCTGAAGCAGCCTTCTGGGCTCTACAAAGCAACATACCTTAGTGCACCTTGCATTGTCATCTAGACAATATCTTCCTGTTTTTAATAATATTAAGTAGTTTTGATGTTGTTAAACCCCAAAAAAGCTTGGTGTGTTGCAAATTGTCATTATCAATGTCCAATATGTCCCCTTTTTTGAGATGTATTGGCTACCGTTTGCTTTATTTTCTCTTCACCGGTTTCATCTCCCTTGACTATAGTCAAGCTGTCCAGCGCAGCAGGCGCTCCTCTACCGGCAGGCCTCCTCTTTCAGCTCTTTGTTCTTCCTCACCTCCTCTGCGTGTTTGTCCTAAATAGACACACAAAAGAAAACTTACTCGATGTGTGTTCATGCATGTATTAGTGTGCCTGAGGGAAGCTAAATACAGCGGCATAAACAAAGTAAAGGAACAATCCACCCCTTTCTAATGCAATATTCATACGGATTCTATAATTAGACTGGGAAGGGGCTCAGATGCACAAAGGCCAGGAACCCACTGAATGAGTAATTGTCACAAAAATTTGGGACATTTTATTATTATTATTTTCAATTTGTAAATATTTTTAAATATATATATATATTCAAATATATATTAAATATAAGATTTTATATTATGTTCTATATATTATAAATACTTATACATATTTTTTTTAGAGAAATTATTACTTTTATTCAGCAAGGACACATTAAATTGATCAAAATAGACAGTAAAGACATGCATAATGTTACAAAAAAAAAATAAAAAATCTGATAAATGCTGTATTTTTGAACTGGGAAAGACTGGAGTAATGGCTGCTGAAAAGTCACAGGAATAAATTACATTTTAAAATATTCTAAAATAGAAAACAGTTATTTTAAATGGTAATAATATTTCAAAATATTACTATTTTTACTATTACTTTTTTTTTTTTTTTTTTTACTATTTTTGATTAAAAAAAGCATCCTTGGTGAGCAAATATTATTATATTTTTCCTATTTCCTATATATATTTTTTTAAATATTTTTCCTATTTTTTTTTATTTAAAAAAAAAAAACAGCCTTGGTGAGCATAAGATACTTTAAAAAACATTATAAATTACTTACCGACCCCACACTTTTGAACAGTAGTATAGTTATGAATGTGTAGGTCTTATAGGCTCATTTACAGCAGAACTGTGTTAATGCCTGAACAGCCTTGGTGAGCATAAGATACTTTAAACTTTTTAAAATCCTATAAAACCTAAACTTTGGAATGGTAGTGAATTTACATGAAAAATTACATGTATGAAGGTAAAGGAAAAAAAAGTTTTCGTATTTGATTGTAATGACATTTTTAAAAGTAAAAACGTTCTTAGTAAAGTTTAATGTTTTAGCTATGCATAATCAAATGAAATAAATTTTCATCAGAAATAATCTTTAAAGTCCAGTTCTACATTTATTGTTTTTAAATATCCTGTTTCCCTCTGAATTATGTCTCATTACTTGTAAACAACAATTAGCATTTAATAAGTGCTTTAATAAAATACTTTACATGCCTGTCAGTTAGTTTGTACCTTTTCCTGTAGTCTCTCCAGCATGGCAGCAAGCAAAGCCTCTCGGTTTTCTTTGATGGCCTCCATCTTCTGCTCCAACTTTTCTTTAGCATTCTTAATGAAGTTGTTGTTCTCCTCAAACGCCTTCTGGATGACCTCTCTCTCATGCTCCCTCTTCTCAGCAAGATGCTTTAACATCTCAGCCTCCTGAAACTGGGGAGAAGAATACAGTTGCAGCATTAAAATCAGACCGAAGAGAGGAATGGTTTGGGTATTGGTTTGGGTGTAAATTCCAACCTTCCGCCTCTCCTCAGCTGCTTCCAGTTTCTTTTGGATTTCCTCCAGTGAGGGGTCCTTACGCTGGGGCATGGATGTGTTAAGCTCAGGCACGCCATCAAAAGAGGGGGGTTTCAGTATCACCTCAAATGCCTGGCCCGAGGCCCGCTTGTTCAGCTCGATGACCTCCATATCTTTGATCACACACCAGTTGAGATCCACTGCATCTTCAAGAATGATCACACACAGATTACTGTGAGCATAATGTTATCAAATCTGTATTATATTTAAGCTCATTGTATTGTAGCGATAGAGATGTGTCTATCAAGTATAAATACCGATGAGTAATGTTTTATTATTTACCCTCAGCCTTGTATGTGGGGTTTTCTGCAGGGTTTGAATTGATGCAGGAGCACAGAAGTGACACTAGAGGGAGCTCCTTCACCTTGTCTCGATATGCTGTGCGGAGAAATGTCAGGCAAGTACAAAATTCCTTGTAAACATGAACAAAGCCTGCATTCTGTCAAAGATCCTGATCATACTTGGTTTAAGTGCAGAAAATTAGACATTTTAAAAGCAATTAACTCATTTAAGCACATAAAATGTCTCAACTACCTGACAGATATCACTAAATAAACCGGGTCAAGTAAAGCGCTCCTACAGTATTTCTACTTGCTTAAGATAAAAGTACCTGTGAAATGCTTAAATATAAACAGAACAGAATCTCTTTTCGATGGGCTTGTTGGAACAAACCACGCATTTAGCCAAGTAGAAAACTTTAAGGCGGCTCTCTCACAAAATCAATTAATGGCGTGATTATGGGGGCGGGACTACATGTTTGCTTGGCCAATGGGAGTTTGGGGGGTTTGTTTGGGAAACTTGTTTGGAAACAGGTTCATTTCAAATAAATTACGTGTATTTCAAATATATAATTATAACAATTTCGAATATATAATTATGACAATACAATGTATATAACATGTCAAAAAAATATGCTTAAATATAATGTGCATGATATTTGTTACTCTGGAGAAAAATATTCAAATATTGAATTTGACAATGGGGGCTTTGGAGTTTGGGAATCCGGGCTGACTTTTGTAGCTTACCTGCCAAGGTCATGTTTATGCAGTGTTGTGTGTAGTTTACAACCCTTCACTCAGTCCTGTTTAGAGACAGGGAGAGAAAGACAGAAAGAAAGAGAGGATTAAAAAAAGAGTATGTTGTTTTTTTTACCACAAGGATAAAACACTCTGGCAAAAATGAACAAATAATTAATACAGTAGCATTTTATGTCAAATGCAGATCCATTGTGCATGAGATGTCTGAAAGGAGCTTGTTGTGTTGTGGCGGGACACTAGAGGAGCATGAATTCAGATGAGGAGCAGCAGGGAGTGTCACGCACAATCTCTGTATTGTTACTCTGCCTCAAAGCTGCCACTTATCAGTATACAAAACAATTTTAGATAACAATCGACATTACATAAATCCTAAAACCATGTGCAAAACTGACATGTTGAGCTGACTATGGAGAGACACCACTGAGAGAGAAGCATTGCCCTGCCATGTTCATAAATGAACACACACTACTTTTGTCCAAACACACACTTCCTGCATGTAGTTGTTTACTTACAGCTTGTCAGTTACCATATTTGTCGCTACATTGTCACATCACCGTTACAAAACAAATTGATATGACACCTTTATATATTGTTAAACTGTTGCCCCAAATGGCATATGTTCATAATGTCAGGCTAAACACAGGTAAAATCCGCTCTCAAATGACTACATTAATACAAAACGCAATACTAAGTAACAAAATTAATCCAAATGCAACCCTAATCACTGCAGTCAATGTGTATTTGTGCGAAAGGTTGTTTACTGACTCTTGCCTTGGAATGACATAATCTAGTACACTCTTCAATTATGTCATCTTTTAACACATTGGTTCATATCTATACACACAGATACAGATACATTTGCCAAATACATTCCCATTTTCATGCATATAAAAGTTGTTTTGAATACATTATAGATGGCAGACAGAGCATGTTATAAGAACACTGAGTTCCCTTTAGACCTCTGGTGCAGCACATTTAGTCTTAATCTCAAAGGTAACATTTTTCATTTTTAGTAATAAATGCAAGTCAGATCACAAAAACATCAGAGCACAGCAAGTCTCCTCTCATTTGATTTCGTGATGCCCACACTTACCTTTTCTCCTTGA